GGGGGCACACATGGCAGCAACACACGCCCCCCTGGCCGTCCAGAGTCATGCTCCGACTGCCAGCCAGGCTTCCTGCCATGGCTGCAGCCCCAGGAGGCCCCCGGGACTCCAAATAAGACTGCTGAGGCCAGCACGTTTGCTGGCCCCAGCCTCCCCTCCCCCACCTGCGGGAACCTGCCGCATGCCAGAGCACGTGTGGTATGGGCATTCCCTGGGGACAAACAGCAGTGGCACAAGGTCCCCAGCGAAACAAACACCCACGCTCGCCTGGACGCACCCCATGGTTTTATATGGACTCTTTCTGTTCTTGTCCATCTCATTACAGTTCATTTAATTGGCTTGAATACGAGTATCAGCACCTCCAGAAAGTTCTTGGTCAGCTCGGCTTTCAAGATGGTTCTGCTCTAGTGTCAAAACATGTCATGGCTTTTACGGAAGTTGAGCTTTTTCATGAGAGTCACCAACTCATCACATTTCCCAAACACTTAATACTTGCAGAAAAGAATCGGACATACATCTGAGCAAGAATCACTCACTCTAAGGTGCTCTTGGCGAAGAAATTATTCCTTTGCAGTTTAGCATTTGATGGAGTGAGGCAAAACATTGTTACCATCTGATACTCGTTTATGCAGCAGAACCTGTCTCTTTCACATGAAGGAGTTTCATGTTCAGGAATTAATGTCTCTTAAGATAGCACCAATTCAGGCATTGAGAGTGCAAGCTCATCATTTGATGGCAGAATTTTGATTCATTTGCAGATGGAGTGAAGGTAAAAAGCATGTTGAAATAAATAAATGAGCTGGAATCAGTACTGAAGAGGGGATGACAGGAGAAAAACCTCTTGTGATGATGAAAGGTAAGCCTTGCCTAGTACTTCTAGTCAGACTTCAGCAGATGTCTTTTGTGGAGCTGCTACTCTGGGGGAGTAAGAAGGATAAGGGAGGACTGAATGGATCACATATTTAAATATTTCCCAAGGCTACTTTTTTATTCTTAGAGTTAATTTGTCCTCCGTGCAGTAGCTTCTGCCCTGTGAAACAGGTAGTTAACCCCTCTGTCCACAAACCTGTCAACATGGGAAAGTCTTTCTGATATAATTTTAGTATTTTCTGTATTACGTTCACACTTGACTTCAGGTTGTATTTATTGTCAATCCAGTTGAAATGAAAGGGGGTGGGAACCAGTTAGCCGGATAACCAGTGTGAACTATAGCTTCTGGTGTATCTGGTGTTGGGTACATTAGACAACTTTCTTTGCTGTGTTCTTTCAAACAAAGGTTCTGCAGATTTCAAGTACCAGAAGGAGGGAGCAAAAGTGATCCCTACTAGACCTATCGCTGCTGGGATGACAATATTTATTTGTCAAGAGTCCCAAGACCAATTTCTAATAAATTGCTCCATTTTTTTTCCATTTTAAACATCTGGAAGAACACAGAGAAGCTGTTCCAAGAGCACTGTACATCAATACTGTAGAAAGAAACATCCCAGTGGTTCCCAGCAGAGGACAGCAAATCCTAACTCCATACATTTCCATTCATGCTTCCCCCAGGAATTGAACACCAAAATTGAGCCTATAGTATACAGCATTCATTGAACAGGTAATTGTGATACCACTTGACTTACTCACCTGTATCTAGTTCCCTTGTCTGGGAATTTCTACAGTAGCTGAGAACCTTTCTTTAAAAGCGACCAGCATAGTATTTCTTTCATTTGTGTTTTGATTTCTTTATGATGCGTAAGGAACCCTCCAAAAGATGTATCCCTCTCTCCTTCCCTCTCCCATCCCCTCTATCTTTAAAACCTTCACAAAGATCCAAAATGTCAAGCCAGACCTTTCCTGTCTAGCTAGAGGTCTTCTTAGCGTGTCGTGGAGATATACAATTTCTAATATGAGAAATGAGGAGCAGAAGCAACCCTTCCAGTGTATCTGTACATGCCATAAAGAAGTGAACACCAATGCACAACCTCATATCCAGTGGCCCTGGGATGCGAAGCAAGGGTGTTTCATAATCCTTGTTCTGATAACTGAGGAACATTTCTGCAGAATACCTAGAACAGGGAATACTTCTCTTCCCTTCATGGCATGGGACACAGGATAAAGTTTACATCCACATGGAAATCAGTGGAGTTGTATTAGATTTACAGCAGTGTAACTGAGCAGAATCCAACCATACACATTCACATGTGTCATGGCTGCTTGTGTTCAGCCAATTTGACTAATAGTGCCTGAAACGCTCTTTGTCCGGTCTTATTCATTCAGTCTGAGAACTCATCATCAGTAGATTCCAGGGTGTCACTGATGAGGGATTGCATTAATATTACATAACTTAGCTTGCTAGATATTAAATTAGCATAGAAATGTTGAGCTGGAAGGGACTTCAAGAAGTTTTCTTATTTCAGCCTCTGGTCTGAGTTAGGATCAAATGTCCCTAGACCAGGGGTGGGCAATTATTTCAGGGCCGCTTACTGAGTTTTGGCAAGCCATCAAGGGCCACGTGACAGGCAGCCAGAGGCAGATAAATATTAATTTTCAAAAATGTTTAGGTGCTCTGCAGGCTGGATAGTATGGCCTGGCAGGCCGCATCCGGCCCATATTTTGCCCACCTCTGCCCTAGATCATCCTGAATAGATGTTTGTTCTCATCTTGAAGACCTCCAGCGAAGGGGATTCCACCACCTCTCCAGGTCACCTGTCCCAATGCTTAAATATCCCTACAGTTAGAAACTTTTCCTAATATCCAACTTAACCCTTCTGTGTTGCGTCATCAGCAGAGACCCTTTCCTGTTGGAGAACAAGAGACAGTCTGTGCAAGTCTCCAAATCCTTTTTGGGAAAAGAGTATCACTGCTGGAAACAGACTTTTGCCTTCTGGCACTATTAGCCCTGCCTTAC